GCTTCGGTATCGTGTCCAAAGTCGACTGATAACACTCTGACTTGTATTCAGAGCTAAAGCCACAGTACGTTGCCGGGAACCAGCTTCTATCATTCCCACGGCTCTGAGCATTTCTTCCCTGCTTAAATGACGTCGCCGCTCCTTAATAACGTTGGTTTTAATCAGTAGTAGGGAAACAGTAGCACTAATAATGTCTTCAATGCGTTGTATGTTTTTATAGGGAAAATATTGACAGCTGATTTTCATCTTTTACTCGAATTTGATTCACAGTTCCTGATTCAAATTATGAAATGCACCAAAAAGGATCCATATAAATTTATAAAATCATAAATTTATTACAAAGCCACATCTCAATCTCAAGAAATCCGCATAAAAATGCTTGATCCCTAGACACTTTTGATGTGTGTATAATGAAAAGAAAGTAACTTTACGATACAGCTAGCAGAACTGTAACGAGTTTTATTTTTAATTTTATGCATGTATGTTCGTTATTCGAATATTTCGATATGATTGCAGATAAAAGTTTTCATTTAACTTGCTATGTATGTTCGGGTGGAATCTTGCAACTCCATTTTGAAGCAGATGTCTTCATTTGATTTAGCTGAAATTTTATACACACATTAAGTTTGAATGACAATGCATGGTGAGTTGTGTGACGTCATTCCAAATCTAATATGGCGGACTTAAAAACATGGCAGCCAAAGTTTTTTTTATGTTTACCTACAAAATAAAATAGCTAAAATACTAGCTGAGAATATGGGGGTTTCGAAGTACTCAATTATGCACATCGATAGAAAGTAAAAAATAAATTAAAAGTAAAAAACCTTTTTGACAACAAGTTTTTATTCCAATGCGCTAAAAATAATAAAATTAGACTTTCCTTTAAATTTTTTACTATGTACTTACAACGTCATTACTCAAATTATATTAATATAAAAGCTTTTCTAGGTTTAAGTAGGTACTGGTAGTTAAAATACGAAAATGAAAGAAAAACAATCCAAAAAAATTTGTTCATCTACACAGGTAAATACGAGATTTCTTATCTGATTTACATTTTTTTTCCGAAGCGAAAAAAGTTGCCATTTGCTTAAAATAAATATTTTGGCCCAGCCGTTCTGATGTTATAAGCAATTTTGTTACTTGATTACGATGTCCAACCGATTTTTAATTAATGACAAAGTCTCATATGCTTTGCGTAGAGGCACCCATGAGTTATGTTGAACACACATAGATAGGTACGATCGAACCAACCGATTACTGACCCACTTGCACGATAAATCGCATATTCGCATTTTTTTTAAATGTCAAAACAGTAAAGTTGTCCTTTTTAGAGAATGCGTAATTTCACATAGGACCATCTAATAACAAGGAAACTGTGCATCAAAGATATTTGACGACTTTTAATTTCAATTCAATAGATCTTATTTTAGATAAATTGGATTAGTAGCTTTAATTTTGAAATCACTTTAAAAATCATAAATAAATAAACTCTTGCGATTTCTTGACAGTGTTAAAAAGTTGATAAACTCATAAGGAAATTCTTAGTTGGAAATGGACTAAGAATTTCCGTACGAGTATATCAACTTTTTTACACCGTGTTTTTTCCATAATTTAATATCAAAATATCGTCACAGAAAGGGCGGCAAAATCTGTCACGTCAAATATAATTGTTCAGGAAATACAAATTTATATCCAGGGATATAAATTGAGGAGCTCGATGGTGCGGGTGGTTAGCGCGTTCGACTGCGATCGTTGAAGTTAAACAACTTTCGCAGTGGCCGGTCATTGGATGGGTGGCCAAAAATTTACTATTTCGAGCTCCTCCGTGCTTCGGAAGGCACGTTAAGCCGTTGGTCCCGGTTGCATCTGCAGTCGTTAGCACCCACCAATCCGCACTGGGCCCGCGTGGTGGGTCATGGCCCAATCTCCCTATTCCATCCATAGGGAAGGCCTGTGCCCCAGCTGTGGGGACATTAATAGGCTGATGATGATGATGATCCAGGGATACGTACATTTAAATTTGAATTAAAATAATGGTCGATTTAAGCAAAAATCTAACTTATCGTCGTGAAATGAAAAAATGGTTATGTTAAATTAAACTTAGGGTGTATCAATTAAATTGACTGATCGTACATTAAGAAATGAAAACGTTTAGCACCTTATAATAGAACTTTATTCATAAGTAACTGCTATTGTTAAACCATTCAGGTTCACAAGTTTACATTCATTGATCACATTACACAATATTATGAAATAGAAGCATAAAAACCATTTTGTTGTGATACTTTTTTATCGAAATTGTTGCACGTATCTACCAAATAAAGTACAAAGACAATGCCCATGACCACTGTGCACATAACTTGACATTGACACAGAAGAGTGTGACAAATCGACAATCATTGGATATATAAAATGCACAAGATTTTGCCCGCGACTCCGTTAGCGTTAGTTAGTAGTTTTTTGAGAATCTCACAGGAATCATGTCTCAATCCAGATAATATACTATATGTGTGCAAAATTTCATCCATATTCGTTCTGTTATTTTTGCTTGATTGATTAACAAACATACAAACTTTCATATTTATAGTAAGTACTTGACGCCGCCCTCGATTGCCTCTGCGTTAACTTCAGTTTTTTGAAAATCCCTCAAGAACCTAACACTTTTCTGAGATAAAAAGTATCCTATGTCTTTTTCCAGGTTATAAGCAGTCTCTATCTAAAATTTCAACCAAATCCTTTCAGCCGTCAGGGTGACACACATATAAACTTTCACATTTAAGTATATATATTAGTAGGAGTAGGACAGGTTTAAGTATGTAATTTTATTTACAAAAACCAAACCAACACTTTTCAACCAAAGATTGCGAAATTTCGGCGCCATTGTCAATTATCCGCGTTTTCGCAAAATCCCTTGGATTTTCGTGAACTTATTATTATATACAATATCGAGACTTACAAAATAATCTGAGGGAATTTTATTGATTCTGAATTTCTATCAGAAATTCTTAGTAGTGTAGGTTACTCAAAACCTCAAAAAATACCTAGAAAAAATATTGTCGGCACTTACATGACATTGTTATAAAGTGATAATAATAATCGAATTAGTGAGTGCGTCTACAGCTATGATCACAACTGTACTACAAACCCTGCTTGTAAAACCAGCTTTGATTTATCACAACGGATTTACCGGAATTTAATAATGTATCTTAAACATAAAAGAAACAACAGGTAATTCAGAATTCTCTTCTATTTAAGGGTTAAAACATACACATTATTCTCAAGCAATAAAGCAACATAACCTTTATAGCTAGGGCGCTGGTGGCAATTTAGGTAAATATTTTCATCGTCGTTGATACCAAGACGTAATGTTGTATGCACCTACGTTAACTAGAAAATATATGTAACGAGCTCAGGTAGCTTTGATTTTTTTCTAAATACCTTTAAAATTGTAAAAGAAAAAATAATGACAAAAATTATATTATCGTTTCTGTCATCAATTTATATCTATTAAATAAATTGTATGGATAGTGAAATTAAAGCTGTTGTGCTGAAAACTACAGGCAACTACGGAACCCTACACTACGCGTGACACGACACGCACTTGACCGGTTTCTTTGTTAGATGAGACTACAAATTATTTGGCTAGTGAAAAGATCTTTTTATTTGAAGTTTCTAAGGAAATTTCTTACATTTGATTTACATGACTAATGATTTTTCAAACTATAACAATATATAATTATATTAAGTACTTCCACATACAGACGCTCCAATTCGAGCGGCAAATCCATTATACCCCTTAAAAACTATCAATAGCCTGATATACACCGTGAATTTTGAGTTACGTAAGAAAATTTACTGGTGAATTCAGATTTCAGACAACGATTTAGGTTATATTGATAGCTCGGGGCTTAAAGGGCGTAAAGGCCAGCCCCGAAATTTATCTTTAATTATTTTTTCTAAAAAGATTCTCTACACTAACTCAATAATTGTTCAATTATGAACATTTATAGTTGCTTTAAATTGATTCAAGTAAAACTACTTTATGATCTAGGTGCGCACTTTAAGCGGATAATAATTTTATCTAAATATGTTGTTTACCAATTTGCGCCGATTATAGAATATATTGTAAACAGTATAAATCAATATTTTTGTATAGAGCGGTATTATTGTTTCTAATTGTAATTTTTGAGTTTCTCTAGTTACTGAATATTCACGGTATAAATTATTTCAAAAATATAGCAAATGAGTGATATACTTATAATATTGCAATAAAGCACATGCTTATTAGTGTACTATGCTATCACAACAATACGGTTCATTTAAGAAAGACAGTGATAGAAAAAACTTTTTTAAACAAAACATAAAAAAAAATTACTTCATAAGTACAAAACCACAAAAAAAAGAAATAATGCATATTCTTTACTTATTTTGTTTAAATTCAAAGTAAAATTAACATTTGGAATTGGTGCCATGCATATAGATAAATCAGAGTTGCTATTTATTGCTCGGGTTGGCATGGCATCGACTCCAAATGTTAAATTGGTTTCATAAAACCACGATGCCAGTAAAAATTAAAAAGTATTTTACATTGCCTCAATTGTTTTCTGGCATATAAAAAGTGGAAAATAAAAATAGTTCGTCCTTGGCTGGGAATATAACCAGGGCCGCCCACGTAGAAGGCCAACTTTCTAACACTGTACCCCGAATGCAAGTTGATAAGGTCAAAATTTTTTAATAATAATTAGAAATGTAATGCCACTAGATAAAGGCAAATAATAAAAGTTTAAAACAATGAATATTCCTAACAAACAAAATAACATTATTATTTTATTGAAACAGTATTATTTATGGCTAGACTAAGAAAAAATATAATGTACTTTTTGTTGTTAGACTTTTACTAACAGTACAATTGTTTGTCGCATTTCAGGTTCTATAGTAATGGTAGTAATAATAGACGTTATAAGTACATAAGAGTTGTTAATAACGGTATATTTTTTCAGGTGATTCGCAAGTGAGTTATTTGTATGCAAGGCGTAAGTTTCAACTCAACGAGGTCGAATACAGCATTTATGGAACTGCGAACATCCTCCTTGGCCTAATAGGTAAGCAATTACCTGGTAGTCTTTAATTGATATCTGAGTAACAGTGCTAACTAACCTCTTTTTTTTTCAAGTTGCAGCCTTTGCAGCTGAATAAGATACTAGGCCACTCAGAAAGTTTTGCGAAAAATTTTTTATGTATAAGACACTGGCCACTTGTAATTATTTTGAAAACTTCGATTATTTAAAAGTAAAAATACCACTGTTCGATTTTCAAATTTCCCTCTGCATTTTTTCGAAAGCCGTTTAAATTTTTCTTGTGTCATTAAAAAATGGATCTGCATCGAGAACATTTTCGTGCTATGATTTTTACGATTTTAAATGTGGCTTAAAACCTGATGAGTTATTATTTATATTTTTAAAATAAATACTAAATTACTTACGTAAAATTTTAATTTGTGTATGGATTTGTGTAACTAATTTATTAGTCGGTGTTGAAAAATTGGTGGGCATAGGTAATAAGAAAATATAGACTGCAGTATTTTTATTGGAATGTACTGATACGGTAAAGATATAAGATGACCGTGACACTTTGTGAGCAAAATAGGTATATATATTATTATGCATTCGAATGCAGGCAAGTAATCAAATTGTGAAGGTTCATACAAGTGAAGCCCGATGATCGTGTTATCTTCAAATAAAAATCGCGAAGATAGGACACAATAAATATATTCTTCAGAAATACAAATTCACACAAAATAAAATAAATACTTATTCCAAAAATTAAATCATGACAAGAAGTAACCGAAAACATCACTATGACAACGAACAGAAAAATAAAGGTATTTATTTCTATTCAAAAACTAACCGGCCAGCCACTGCTAATCACAACCTCAACATCCACCCCACCTTGCAGTGCTGGCATCTAGAGCATAAACTTACAGCAATGCAAAACCGAAAAAAAACCTATAAATCTAGCTTATGGGGCACTCTCACTGAACGACCACTACGCGTGACTACTGATCGTGTATCAATCCCCAATAGACAATCCCTACTGTTACTGTTAAGCTCAAGGAGATACAGCCGTTGATATGCTCTCACTCCTTCGCCCACATTTGTGCGTAATTGAGCAACTCTACCATGACCGTCAGGTCCTGCCATTATCTTCAACACGAGCCCAAGAGGCCAATCCACGCGCTTCTTATCATCGCTGCCAATCAAAACAACGTCACCCTCCTTGACAAATCGTGTGCTATCGCCTGAATTCTTATGGACGAGAATGGAAAGATATTCACTCCTAAAACGTAGCCGTAAGTCCTCCGTAAGTTTCTTTATGTACGGCCATCTTGCAGTCAAACCATCAACATGAGAAATATCAGCCAGTTGTGTCTCCGCACCTACAGAACCCAATAACATAGCTGGTGTTAATCGAAGAAAACCTTCTGTGTTGTCCATAATATACGCCAATGGTCTGGATTTTATAATCGCTTCAACCTCGCAGATTATGGTGGTCATCTCCATTTCATGAACCGATGCCTTTCCCAGAATGCGACGTAAAATATCCTTTATTGTTCTTATCATCCTTTCCCAAAATCCACCCCACCATGGCACTGCCGGCGGTATGAAGCACCATGAAATTTTATTTGCTTGGGAGGCTTCAGATATTTTATATATTTATATTTATTTATTTATTTCAAGTAACAAAGACTCATATTATACATAATACATTAATTAACTATTTATTATTATTGATTTATTAAATTAAAATTATTTTTTTAGTCCATTCAATGTTTGTAAACAAGTTGCTAGCACCTCGAAAATTTGTTGCATTGTATATATTATTTTAACAGCGCCCCTTCTCGCGAGAAATCTGCGCAATGCTAAAAGAAAATCCTCCGTGGACAACGACGTGCACAGCTCCAGGTGTACAGCTCGGTACGTAGCGCAAGTAAAGACTGCAATCCAGCATTTCTGACCACTATGCAACAATAAATATCCTACAAAGTCAATATCTGTTACTGCAAAAGGGTCCCACTTGTGGGGAGCCACTGGTAACGGAGCTTCTGGTGCAGAACAGGGCTTTGCACTGTATCTCTTGCAGATGACACATTGTTGTACAGTTCTCTTTACTATGCGCCGTATTTCGATAATCCAATAATTTTCACGTAGCTTATTAATTAAAGTTAAAGGGAACCAGCGTGCAAAAAATCAATATGCTTCTGACTAATCAAACGCTCAACAATAAAACTCTTGCCTGGTAATAATACAGGATATTTAAAACTGTTTAAATTGTCGCTGAATGTTAAACGAGTCTTGACACATATCAAACCATCTGTATTCTTTATAGTTTGCAAACTTAATCCCGCGACTTTATCTGTAAAGCCAAATTGCTCGATCTGCAATATTCTTAACAGTCGCCTCTCAGCATCTGCAAATTCCTCGGCTTTTACACTTGATTTACGTCTTCGAAGACGTAACCACCTGAGACACCAAGCGACTGTCCGTACTATCTGCGAATACTTACTAAAATAACTTAAACGTTCTGAAAATCTCTCCGTACTAACTTCTAACAGACAACTCTTCTTTATCTCTTTCTCTACTTCTTTATAATCGGGCATAGGATTCGACACTGGCCACTCGACTTTTAGCTTTATAAGCCATTGTGGACCCTCAAGCCACTGACTCTTCAACAGTTTTTGTGAGTCACAACCACGCGAAGGTAAGTCCGCAGGATTTTCTATACCTGCTATATGTCGCCAATCGTTTGCGCTAATTCTTTGTAAAATTTCAGTAACTCTATTATGCACAAATGTATTAAGGCCCACTTTCCTTCGTATCCAGGCCAGAACAATGCTCGAGTCAGTCAGTTTCTGAGCACTCTAACTCCAAAGCCAACTTCACTTCAGCAGCCAGCCTGGTGCCTAAGACGGCTGCTATAAGCTCAAGCCGGGGGATCGTAACCGATTTTAATGGAGCTAGTCGTGTCTTCGCCATTACTAATTGCACACATACACCATCTTCACACTCCGATCTTAAATATACACATGCGTCGTAGGCATACTGGCTCGCGTCACTATACACGTGTATTGAATTCTTATTGTTGAGCAACTTACTTTTGCTGAGATGTCTTGGAACACTATAGCCTTTTAGTACATTTAATTGATCGATCCACTCTCTCACTTTGGCCCTAAACAGTTCTGGAAGCTCACTATTCCAACTAATCTTCAAGCTCCATGTTTTCTGCAAAAACAATTTAGGCACAATCGTTATTGGGCAAACAAAACCTAATAGATCGAAAATGCTTTGAGTTATTGATAACAAATATCTCTTGGTTACCTTTGTATTGCCGTTCGTTATTCTAGGAATTTCTAGTTTGTAAACAGCCATCAAATGTACAATGAAATGTATTTACATTATTTACAGAGCAATATACACCCGCTGTCGGCCCCTGGATAGTTCAATTCAGCTTAGTCTCAGTTGCCAGAAGATTGCCTTCAATTAGTACTGATCGTCCAGTGAGGAGTGAACCTATAAAATCGGAACCGATAAGTAAAAAAATCTCAGTCGTCGCGTCGTTAGTCTCATCGTTACTAAAATCACACACATCACAGGCATTTGTCGTTTTTCGAATGCTTGATGCTTCCGTGGTATAACTCCTTCTTACTCGTTGAAGCTGCTAAGCATGCTGCCGAGGGAGTTTTGGCTGACGATGAAATACCATCCGAGCTGTGAGCTAAACTAATCATCTCTCCGGATTCCACCTCCTTCTTTAGGAACTCTAAAAGATTATCGAGATTGTTGTCTTTACCGCTTTGTCTCGACCTCAATGTCTCTTCAGAAATGGCGGATTCTACCATTGGAAACAAAAACATATTATAATTTTCTTACGTTGTTCCCAATGTAACTAGAGCGAAAATTTTTGTCATTAATCAAGTCATACAGAACACTTATTGGCGTAAGACCCCTTGTCTGTACAAGCTTTATGAACTCTCGAACATAAAATTGTACGATTATATCTTTCCTACCAAATCTCAGCTTCAACTGCTCTAGCGCCTTATCATAATTTTCACCAGTAGGCGGAAATGTACTGACTACGTCTTTAGCTGCTGATCCCGGCTCCATACACTGCAGAAGGTATTGGATTTTATAATCGTTGTGTAAATTCTCATCTTCGTCTATCTTTTTAAACTGTGACCAAAACCCTAGTCAGTTCTCAATCTTTCCATCGAATTTGGGCAGGTCTATTTTGGGCAGTTTGAGCATGATGTTACTAGCAACTGAACAGCCGCAGCTCTTTTCTGAGTTTTTTAAACTATGAGGTGAATCAACCGATATGCTAATAAATTCATTCACCTTACCTTGTAACTTGAAAAAAATAGATTCATACTCATTCGCTGCGTCCGTATCTATTTGTATAGACTCCTCATCTCTATCACCTTCCTGGAGCCACATATCCAGTACAGCATTTTGAGACGCGCAAAGACTTTCGTGGTGCAACTTAAGTCTCTCAAACTCTGCTGAAATCGAAACTTTATCACGGGCGGTTTCAGAGAGTAAATTTATTAACTGCACATCGTGAATTGTCTCCTTTGAATTTTACGACGGGCTTTCAACATCTCAATTTCCGTAACGGTCGCCATAATGTCAAGGTTCGTACAAGTGAAGCCCGATGATCGTGTTATCTTCAAATAAAAACCGCGAAGATAGGACACAATAAATATATTCTTCAGGAATACAAATTCACACAAAATAAATATTTTACTTATTCACAAAATTAAATCATGACAAGAAGTAACCGAAAATATCACTATGACAACGAACAGAAAAATAAAGGTATTTATTTTTATTCAAAAAACCTAACCGGCCAGCCACTGCTAATCACAACCTCAACATAAATTTTAACAAATGATTGACGTATTATTTAATGTTTACCAATAACATTAATTTTATTCTCATAACAATTATAATAATTATGATGGTTACATCAAAGAATCTTAATTCCTAGACAATTCTTTAAGCTGTACTGCAACTCCATGCGAAAGGATACAAAAGTTTAATGAATA